TCTACCGCGCTGCGCAGCGCTGCACTGGGTAATAAAAAGAATATACAACCGTTAGTGGGCGTCCTACGCAGGCATGACGTTTTTACGAACGGGACTTTGCTCTCTTGTTCTATTTATACTCTTTGGTTGATGTCGAAAGTCAATTTACCTTCGCGAAAATGGTATCGCCCAGGCTATACTTTTGCATTAACGATTTTGCAATGTCTGACTGCTTTTTGCAAAGCGTGGCTGACCTCGACTCGCTGCCGGTCTGCAGCAGGATGCAATTGCTCGCTTCTCCCACAAAGTTCTAAAAAACATTCTCAACTCACTCATTGAGGTCAATGACCTGGGGTCACTACTTTGTGACATACTTTTAGAACAGAAATCCTTTGACTAAAACAAATCAAATAGCAAATATTCTCTACACCTTCTAACTATAAATGTTAGCGTATGATACCTTATAGGCCATCATCACAGTGTATGTTTTGTATGTTTGGTATTCAAACTGACAAGCCACCGCTTCTTTTGATGCCTATGTAAATAATTTGCAATTTGTAATTTGTTGTGGATTTTTTTTTTCTGAATAAATGTAAATGTAAAAGTGATCACAATCATAAAATTGAACAAAATGAAAACCGTTCCCCAATGGAAGGGGAGAGTCAAGGAATCGCTCCCTTAACAATGTTAACAAAAACAAATTATGTAGCACTGAGAACAATTATGGTAACTGTCAAAAATTGAAGTAAAAGAATGAACATAAATGCATTATTGGACGATGGGAGCCAACAAACATACATAAATGCCGGTGTGGCCGCTGAGCTGGGAGTGTATGGAAGGACAAGAGAAATAACAGTGGGAATTCTAAATGGGAAGTACGAGACCTGTAAAACAATGCCTGTGACAATTGAAGTAAAAGGATTTGAATCAAGTTTTAAAGTAGAGGCACTGACTACTGAAAATGTAGCCGGAAATTTAAAGGCTACTGAGTGGATGGACATATCCAAATCATATGAGCATCTGAAGGGTATCCCATTTCCAAAAATAGCCAATTCAGGAAAGATAGATATGCTTAAAGGATTGGATTTTGCCGAGTTGCATGAAAGCCTACGCGAAATTAAAGGAAATAAAGGCGAAACAGTGGCGAGATTAACAATACTAGGATGGACATGAGTTGGAAAATTACGGAGTGATGATGTAAGTACAAATAACAGTTTTATCAATACATTCCGTTCTACTGTAGAAATGACGTGTGATGATATAATGGCAAAATTTTGGGAAGTTGAGAACACCGGACTAAAATCCTATGTACCTGAAAGGTACACAACAGAGGAAAAGGCTGCATTAAAGCAGACATCTCAATCAATAAAAATGAGTGAAGGGTACTCTGTCCAAATACGTCCTTGGAGAGAAAATAAAAAGTCAAATTAAGTAATTACACTACGGCTGTTAAGCGCTTTGAGACAAACAACTTAAAGATGCGTATAAGGAAGTTATAGAATCATGTTGAAAAAGGGTACATCAAGAAAGAGCCACCGACAAAGAGGTCAGCATAGAATCAAAAGGTGAGTGGTATTTGCCACATTTCCCTGTAGTGAAATTAGATCGAGCAACGACAAAAGTCAGAATAGTCTACAATGCCTCAGCTAAATACCAAGGCGTATCATTAAATGACCAAATACTGCCAGGCCCAAAACTTCAAAATGATTTAGTTGATGTGCTGTTAAACTTTCGTAAAAATAAAATTGCGCTAGCCTGTGATATCTCAGAGATGTACTTACAAATAGAAGTGAAAGAAGAAGATAGATCAATGTTGAGATTTTTGTGGAGGGATTTAAATGTTGATAAAGCTCCCGAAATTTATGAATTTAATAGACTTGTATTTGGATTGAATGCGGCTCCATTTCTTGCTCAATTAATAACACAGCAACATGCAAAAATGCATGCGGACGCATACCCCTTGGCAGCAAAAACAGTTTTAAAATCTACTTATATGGACGACAGTATGGATTCTGTTGCTGATGTAAGAACTGGTTGTGAACTATATAAACAATTATTACAGTTATGGTCGCTAGCAGGAATGAAAGCAAGAAAATGGGTATCAAATTCCAAGGAGTTATTGAATGAAATACCAGAAGAAAACAGAGCGAGTGAAATAAATGTCAGTGAGAGCATTCTACATTCAGTGAAAACACTAGGCTTAGCCTGGGAAGCAGAAGATGATAATTTTGTGTATAAAAACCTTCTTTTAAGATAAACTGTGCTCTAACAATGCGAAATGTGTTGAGCAAAATTGCTTCATTGTTTGACCCACTGGGATTTATATCGCCAATTGTGATAAGGGCAAAAATAACTATGCAGGACATTTGGGCAAGTGGACTATCTTTGGATGAACCATTAAGTAATGAAATTGAAAATAAAGTGAAATATTGGCTTGCAGATTTGGATGAACTTAGTAAAATTAAAGTTGAAAGGTGTTTGCAACCCATAAACGACGGAAGAGTGGCACTTCATGTTTTTGTTGATACGTCGGAAGATGCATATGCGGCAGTAGTATATCTGTGTTGTAAAAAAGATGATACGTGTACCATTAGATTAGTAGCTTCAAAAACCAAGGTTGCACCCTTAAAAACAATGAGTATTCCAAGATTGGAGTTAATGGCAACTGTGCTGGGATTAAAACTCGTGAAGTCAATCGCAAATTTTTTGGACTATGATTTGAAAAATGCAATTTTTTGGAGCGATAGTATGACTGCAATATGTTGGATTAGAGGGCGAAGCCGCGCTTTTAAAACATTTGTAGCGAATAGAGTGGGATATATTCAAGAGCATACAAACCCAAATCAATGGCGTCATGTGCCAACTAAACTCAATCCCACAGATGTAGCATCGAGAGGTACAGTGTGCAAAGCCTAGTAAACAATGAACAGTGGTGCCATGGCCCCCAATTTCTTACGTGTCCTGAAGGGCAATGGCCAAGTTCAAAAATTGATTCGGATACACCAAAAGTGGAAATAAGGATATCTGTGAAATCTTTTCTAGGAAATGTGTTTGTAAATATGGAGGAGGACTTTCGACTGAATCCAGCCCGTTATTCAAACTGGAACAAATTGGTTCGAATTGAGGGATATGTGATGCGATTTATTATTAACTGTAGAAAATCTTGTGGAAGCAGAAAATGTGGACAAGTCGACATACTAAAAATGTTTTGTTGTCATGACGAGATAGGTTATCTTGACAAGTCGACATAATAAAAGTTGTATGTGTCATGCTGAGATAAATTATCTTGACAAGTCGACATAGTAAAAATGTTATGTTGTCATGGCGAGATAGATTATCTTGACAAGTCGACATAATACATATTGTATGTTGTCATGGCGAGATAGATTATCTTGACAAGTCGACATAATATAAGTTGTACCGGTATGTTGTCTTGGCAAGATAGGTTATCTTGACAAGTCGACATAATAAATATGTCGACTTGTCAAGATAACCTATCTCGCCAAGACAACATAACATTTTTACTATGTCGACTTTTCAAGATAATCTATCTCGCCATGTCGACATGATATGTATATTATGTCGACTTGACAATATAAATTATCTTGACAAGTCGTCAAGTCGAATGGCACTTAGGTGCTTCCGTACAGAAGAGTTTATGGATGCAGAGAAATTAATTATTAAAGCGGCGCAACAAGAGGCATTCAATGAGGAAATAAAGAAAATAAAAAAGGGGCAAAATTCGTCTGTAAATAATGTGTTAATTGCTTTAAACCCAAAACTAGACGACGACGGACTATTGCGTTCATCAGGGAGATTAGACCTTAATGAATCATTGCCTTATGATGTGAGAAATCCAATTATTTTACCTAGGAAACACCAGGTGACAGAGCTAATTGTAAAAAAGTATCATGAACTCGGACATCATGTCGCTGGGACAAACCACACTTTAGCATTACTGTCCGAAAGATTTTGGATCATAAGTGCGAAAGAAGAAATACGTGAGTATGAGAAACATTGTAATGAATGCAAACGTAAAAAAGCAAAAGGTGGAGAACAAATAATGGCACCCCTGCCTAAATTTAGGTCAAATATGGACAATATGAGAGCCTTTCACAGAGTAGCTATAGACTATGCAGGTCCATTCTTAACACGGCAGGGGAGAGGAAAAACCAAAACCAAAAGATATCTATGCTTATTTACATGTGTAGCCACTCGAGCAGTGCATTTGGAAATGGCGTATGGTTTAGACACGATACATTTTTAAATGCTTTTTACCGTTTTGTGAGTAGAAGAGGTATGCCAAAACAAGTGATTTCTGACAATGGCACAAACTTTGTAGTGGCAAATAGAGAGTTAAGTGAACTTATAAAATCTGTTAATAAGGATAAAATTCAACAGACTACAACTGATAAAAGTGTTTCATGGAAATTTATCCCACCATCGGCCCCACACTTTGGTGGTGTTCACGAGAGTATGATTAAGTCGGCGAAAAGGGCGATCAACGCTATTACTGTGTAATGCCCACGTCACAGATGAAGAATTATTTTCAGCGTTTGTAGGACCTGAGGGACTAATAAATTCGAGACCGTTGACTCGAGACCAAAGGACATTGTTCCATTAACACAAAACCATTTTCTGCATGGAAAAATGGGGGGAAGGTTTGCCGCAGAAATTGCCACTGACACAACAAAATTCTCTCCTAGAAAACGATGGAGACGAGTACATGAGTTAGTCAAACATTTTTGGCAAAAATGGTTAAAAGAATATATTCCTACTCTAAATCAACGGGGAAAATGGAGACAAGTTAAAAAAGACGTTCAATTGAATGATGTTGTATTGGTATTAGAAAAAGATACTATTAGAGGACATTGGCCATTAGGGAGAATAATTAATGTTTACCCAGGGGAAGATGGGCATGTAAGGGTAGTGAAAGTAAAAACTTCAAAAGGAGAATTTGTGAGACCAATATGTAAAATATGTCCATTGGAGATACAGGAAAATGAACAATAAGAATATGTAACTGTATAAGCATGGTAAATGATAGCCTTAATAACATAAAGAGGTTAGTAATGTATATAAATATGTAGTAGTCATTGAAACATAATTGTAGTTAAGTAAAAAAAAAAATTAATAATAATTTAAAAAAAATAATAATAATAATTAAAAGGAATTAGTGAACTATGTACTTCTGGCTGTAAAATGAAATAACGGTGACTTCGAGCATACAACTTTGGCAGTGTATGTCGAGGAAGGGGAGAAATGTTCAGGAGGAATTTTATAATTAAGAGAAATTTATAAACAAAAATTAAGTAAACCATTAAAGGAGGAGATGGGAATATTCCATGGGGAATACGTGGTTAAGATTAAAGTGAAACTTAGAATAGTGGCACCAGTTAGACTGGAAGAATGTACATTTCTAAACAATAAATTAAGGTGTGGTTAGGTAATGACTAGGAGTTAAAGAAAGGTAGTTGAACCCAAAAAATAGTCAATTAATTATCAAATACTGAGAACTTTAAATACCACGGATGAGAAAAGTTTCACTGTGATAGGTTAATATTAGAAAATGGGAGGTAACAAATGTGTAACAAAATGTGAACCAGTGACCAAATGAATGAGAACTAACGAGAATTAATTGGAGAATTAACTCGAAATTAACCGAGAATTAAACCAAGAATTAAGTGAGGATTATTGTGGAATTAAATTAGAAACCAAGCGGAATTAAAGAGAATTAACAAGTGAAGTTAGAATTGGGAATTTGAGGAGTCAACACAAAGTTGAATATCAAGTGAATAGCGATACCAGTGAATTTAGTGAATCACTACATGAAGTATCAACAAATTGTGAATTGTAACCTGTGAAATTGAGTGAAAATAAATTGTGAATTTTGAGCCTTAAAAGCCGAGTTCCTTTACTTTGTCTCGCGAACACCTAGTTTGAATGTACGCCCATATCGTATACGCCTCAGTCAGATTTTTTTTTTAGTGTTGACGTTAAGTTCACGGGAATTTACGTATGTTGACGCAAATTTACCTACATTGACGCAGATTTTTATGGTTTGACGTAAAATGACGCTATACTACCGTCAAAAAAAGTTACCCTATGTTAAAAATGGAAGAGCCAAACTACGTCACTGTTTTGCAAAGCCTGGCTGCTTTGCAAAACGTGGCTGACTTACGTCTCGCTGCCGGTCTGCAGCAGGATCTCTATCGAATGAATTCGATCCAACTCGGCCACAAGTCAACTCGGCCACAAGTCATTTACTGGTACTACATTGTACTAATTGTTATTATTATTGCTGTTATTATTGTTGTCATTGTTGTTATTATTATTGTTGTTTTTATTACCGTTAG